TTAATTCTGTAGGTTTGAAAGATAATGTGATTATTATTTTATTTTATATTCTGTGGGTTTGAATGAGGATGTGATTATTATTTTATTTTATATTCTGTAGGTTTGAAAGATAATGTGATTATTATTTTATTTTATATTCTGTAGGTTTGAAAGATAATGTGATTATTATTTTATTTATATTTTGTAGGTTTGAAAGATTATGTGATTATTATTTTATTTTATATTCTGTAGGTTTGAAAGATAATGTGATTATTATTTTATTTTATATTCTGTAGATTTGAAAGATAATGTGATTATTCTATTTTATATTCTGTAGGTTTGAAAGATAATGTGATTATTATTTTATTTTATATTCTGTAGATTTGAAAGATAATGTGATTATTCTATTTTATATTCTGTAGGTTTGAAAGATTATGGAATGAGGAAGTAAAAGAGAGAGGAAAAGAAGAGGCATCATTATGGAGAGTTGTATGGAGGGCTATCAGAACTAGACTACTAATTACCTTTTTATTTATTATTATTATGGTGGCCTTTAGTTTATTAACGCCGGTAAGTTGGGTTATTTTATAACCTACCCCCTACACAACAGTTGAGAGTTCGACTTAACTAACAGAGATATAAGAAGGGAAAATCCTAGCCCTTGACTGTATTGTGGTACTGTGTGGTGCAGAGACATTGCCCGATATTTTTTTTTAAATATATGTCAAATTTCACACATTTGCCCCTTGAATTTTTTCAAATTCACATTTTCATTGGATATAAATTTTTTTAGACAATCTGCATTTAAGATGCCTGTATTTCTATTTTACATTGTTTTCATTCTAGGCGCTAGTAATCAGGAATTTTTTAGACTACCTAACTGTAGGGGATGTCAAGTTTTCTACTGGATATATTTATATAGTTGGATTAATATTGTTTGAAGCTGGTAGATCAGTTAGTGGGGCATTAACTTGGATTATAACTTACATGTCAGGTAAATATATTCCTCACTCCTGGGTTGAGTCAGTAATAGTGTTCATAACTCACCATCGAAATTTGAGCCTTCAAATCCATGTATCCAAAGTTATGTGATTGAACGACTCGTCATTTTAAGATACTCTGTATTGTAGGTATTAGAGTGAGAAATGGTTTCATGGGTTTATTGTTTAAAAAGATTCTTCATTTAAAAGGATTAAAAGACAAAACAGTTGGAGAGGTGAGTTATATTTTTTTATATGTTTTATTTCATTTTATTTTGTTTTATTTTATTTTTATTTATTTATTTATTTATTTATTTATTTATTTATTTATTTATTGTTTTGTTTATGGATAAATTATGTTCATGCTTTTATATATTTTGCAAAGCTATTTCTAATGTATCTTATTCATTCATTCATTTATTCATTTACTCATTCATTTATTCATTCAATTCCTCACTGTGTATTTCAGCTAGTCAATATAGTGGGTAATGATGGACAGAGAGTATATGAAGCCAATGCTGTTGGTCCATTCATCCTGGTGGCACCAATAACACTAATAGCAGGCAGCATTTATGGTGTTTTTCTACTGGGACCGTGGGCGTTAATAGGTTGTGTTATTTTCTTTGCATTCTACCCTATCACTGGTCTCATATCAAGATTAACCACCTATTTTAGAAGGAAAGGAATTGTTATTACTGATAAACGGGTAGGGCTTTTTTCTACAAGGATAACAAGTTAGATTCAGAAGGATCTCGTCAACCAGCTGGTCCTTGACCATCCCCTTTTTTCTACAAGGATAACAACTAAGATTCAGAAGGATCTCGTCAACCAGCTGGTCCTTGACCACCTTTTTTTTCTAGAAGGATAACAACTTAGATTCCTGAGGATCCTGTCTACCAGCTGGTTCTGATTTTTCTCGAATTATCCGTAACCATTTACTACTTAGTTCCACAAGGATCCTGAGCACTGGCTGTTTCAGAGTCAATCCTCTAAATATTGGTCTTTCATGATGATTTGTAATCATTTACAACTGGGTCAACTGTAAAATTGAAGAAAGATGTCTTCTTCAAGATCACTCACTGGCCAAAAATGATATATTTCAGGTTCGAATGATGAGTGAGTTATTGACATATGTTAAGTTAATTAAAATGTATGCTTGGGAGAAACCCTTCGCTAACAGAATTGCAGGTATGGATGTCCCATTTTATTGATAAAATCAATTTTTTTTCGCCCACATCTCACTAATAAACATATACATTATCCATTTTCTGGTCACATTTTCAAAAATTCTTCAGTTTTTAACTGATGTTGATTAAAATTGGTGAAGAAAATCTTAAAGGGACAGGTGCGCCATTTTGGGGGGTTGATTTAAGTCTTGGAGTATGTCATTTTAACATTCAAACCCAGATAATTCTGGACACATGTGGGTTTGAAGGCTCAAATTTTGACACTGAACAATGAACACTATCACTGATTGGCTTAGTTAAAAAAAATCCTGTTTCTGAGACTAAAGTATGATTGGTCAAAAAGAATGGCGCAACTATCCCTTTAAATTGTAGATCAATTTTTATTGGCTTCAATGATATAATGGGCATTATGAGGTCAAATCCCCTAAAATAATTATTGCATATTTTTTTCATCTTCTTCTGTAGAAATTCGTTCTGATGAGAGAGATATTTTAGAGAAAAGTGCCTATGTACAGGGTATTAGTACAGGCTTAGCCTATTTAGTACCTATGTTTGCGTCTGTGGTAACGTTTGTAACTATGGTGGCTTCTGATGTAGATTTAACTGTAACTGAGGTAAGTCAATGAATTCTACATCCTGCTTATAATACATCACTAAGCGTTGCGTCATTGCTTATCATTAAGCTGTGGGTCATTACTTATCACTAATCAGGGGTCATTGCTTATACTAATTGGTGGGTCATTGTTTATCACTATTTGCTGGGTCATTGCTTACCACTTATCAGTGGGTTATTGCTTATCACTAATCTGTGGGTCTTTGCTTATCATTAATTGGTGGGTCATGCTTTATCACTAATCGCTGGGTCATTGCTTATCACTAATCAGTGGGTCATTGTGCATCACTATTTGGTGGATCATTGCTTATCACTAACTAGTGGGTCATTGCTTATCACTAATTGGTGGGTCATTGCCTATTACTAAATGGTGGGTCATTGCTTATCACTAAGCATTTGGTCAATGCTTGGGTCATTGCTTATCACTAAGCAGTGGGTCTTTGCTTATCATTAAGCAGTGGGTCACTAATTGGTTGGTCATTGCTTATAACTTATAGGTGGGTCAATGCTTATCACTAAGACTTGGGTCAATGCTTATCTTTAAGACCTGGGTGCATTGCACACACATTGGTGGGGAAAGTCAGATTTCATTGGATTCTTTACATACCCTAATAGTGAAGAGTTTATTTAATTCTAACTAGATTTAGATTTTAATTCTTGGTCCAATTTATACTCTTTCAGGCCTTCACCTATATTAGTTTATTGAATTCTATGAGGTTTTCACTGGGTGTTATGCCATATTCTGTTAAATCATTATCAGAACTAGCAGTATCTTTAAAACGATTTAAGGTGAGTTTTAATTTTTGTCATCTCATGCAGAATCAGTTGATAGAGTTTCAGTTTCAAACTGACATTAGACTTATGGGATCTATTTCTCAAATAATATTGCTATAAGCTTTTAATTGTTAGTGTGGAACAGTGACAAACAACAGAATTTTTTTGTAAAATGGCACCATCGTTTTCCTGCAATTCCATGAAAACTAAGCTGGAAGATCATTTCCAGATTGTTATTTACATTATCAGAAGTATGACTAATGATGCTTTGATATTGGTAATATCTGTAGATGTGAAAAAAAATAAAACCCTGGAACTGACACTGAGTTAGTGGGAACATCTTGAAAGTTAGTTGGTGCACCAAGGAATTAAAGTCTGTTTGATTGCTGTGCTGTGCTCCATCAAAGCAAGAAAACTTTGTTTTTCAATTCCTTTCACCTAAGTCTGTTGCATTGTTTTAGAGTCTGTTAATAATGGAGGATATGGAAGAGTTGAAATGGGAAGTAACTCACGAAGATTCAGCTGTAGAATTCCACAATGCTAACTTAGCCTGGCCTAAAGTTCAAGATGAAACTGCTGCTCTCTTACAAGAGTATGGTACCTACACATTCCTTCATTGTTTTTTTACAAATGTATTTCAATATTTGCATTATATTTGACTATGGAATATGTTAATGAGTAAGACTGTAGGACTTGTTACGTAAATAAAATTATGACTGCTTGATAACTTATAAGTGCATTGATCACTTTACATTTTTATCCAAAGAAATAGAAGCTCGTGCAAGAAAAAAAAAAAAAGGGTGTAGCTTCAGCTATGCAATAACATCAAAAAGGACTGGTTGTAGCACACTTAAGCTCTACCTACTTTCCTCTTAAAATCCTATTTGTCTTTCATGTAAAGTTATCCAAGTGTGCTATGACATCCTATTGCTGATAATAGACCAGGGTGTTCCTCATTTTAATTATTTCTTAAAAATATCAAAGGAAAACATGTAATTTATGTTACAATCTTTATTATTTTAGCAATGGAAGATAATGGTAGTTGTATTAAGATTAACTTCGCAGATGAGGAAAGTTCGGAAGTTCAAGGGTTAACTTCATCTAATCCTGAAAAAGATACAGTAACTTTAAAAGACATATCATATACCTTAAAAAAGGTAGACCTACCTCCGTTATTTGATTAATTCTGTTAGTTGTCATTCTTGAACCCTTTGAACACTGAGTTTTAGAGAATATATCATAGGTTCTGAATGTATTATAACTCTAAAAGTTATGGGTGCATACATTCTGAAGCTTCAAGTGCTCAAGGTGGTGGTAAAGGCTAGATATGGTGTCCACTCTATGGAAATAGATATACATTTACCAAATACAATACTAGGTAGAGGACCTCCAAAAAGGTCATGTCAAACCATGTCATTTGGATGGGTTGTACAATTAACAACTGACTTGCATGAATTGAAATGGCAAATGCAACAAAATCAACATGATTCTTAAAAACAGCCCCATGTCCAAATGGAAGGGAGTTGACTCAACCATCCAATAATTGGGGGTTTTTTCCCCCAACATGAATATTAGAAAAAAACTAAATTCCTCATTCTGAAATTGTTTGGCCCTAGCGTGAGATATGAGATTATTTGAGGTATAATAATGATCATTGTTTTATAAATTTTATATATATATAGGGTAAAATGGTTGGTATTTGTGGTAGTGTTGGTTGTGGTAAATCATCTTTTATATCAGCTATTCTTAACAGGGTAAGTTGTGGTAAATCATCTTTTATATCAGCTATTCTTAACAGGGTAAGTTGTGGTAAATAATCTTTTATATCAGCTATTCTTAACAGGGTAAGTTATGGTAAATCATCTTTTATATCAGCTATTCTTAACAGGGTAAGTTGTGGTAAATCATCTTTTATATCAGCTATTCTTAACAGGGTAAGTTGTGGTAAATAATCTTTTATATCAGCTATTCCTGCAGTCTGCAAACAGATTTTGATACTTTTATATTGGGAGATTTAACTGAGGTGAGTTGGCACAAAAACCAAAAACTGACTAACAGACACAATAGTTCTGTTGGTACCAATTCAGTAAATTCAATCCTTAAAGTGATTATAAGTGATTTTAAACTTGTAGTTTATCATTATTTTTTTTTAACTTTTCCCATTCATTGCTTAGCAGACAAAATATCAATGATTCATTGCTAAAAATATTTTCACTTCTTTCAATTTCCCTTTTTATTTTGCTATTACAAATATCTTAGCTTATCTTATACAGTAATCAAATATTTTCACTATTAAAATAGTACTCAATATAACAATTGTTGAGTGATATAGATATATTAAAACAGAACCTGAAACATGTTGTAACTCAAGAGTATGATACTATGTGATCTTTAGACAACTGACCTTTTTCAATCTGTGTTCCTGCTGAAGTTTGAATGCCCCTAAGTACCTGCTTTAAACAAATGTCGAAATGTAGACATGAAAATAAATTGCCACACATCATTAGGGATGCAGGCTGAAATAGGTCAATTATCTGAAGAATGTACTGTGTGATACTCTTGAGTAACAACATGTTTCAGGTCCTGTTTAAACAATTTCTTGCATATATTGCATTTTGAAAACACTTCCTTTATTTTTTGTAAGATCGGAGAGCGTGGAATGAATCTAAGTGGTGGACAGAAACAAAGACTGAGTTTAGCCAGGGCAGTGTACAGTGATAATGATATAGTTTTATTAGATGACCCTCTATCAGCAGTAGATATCCATGTCGGGCAGCATATCTTTACCAAGTGTATTAAAACATTACTAAGTAATAAAACTGTAGTCTTTGTCACCCATCAGTTACAGGTTAGTTCTAAATTATAGTCTTTTGTCACCCATCTATAATAGGCTAGGAAGATGATATTCTTCCCTTCTTTGAGGAAGAGTTTGTAGCACGGTCTGTTAAATTTTGGAATCCTCATGCTTGTTACATCAAACAAATGGTTGTCATGGGTTTCAATCTTGGTTGGCATGTGAAAGTCTGGTGACCTTGAATAAGTCATCTTACCTCATTACTAGTCCATCCAGCTGTAAATGGGTACGAATAATCTGGGAAAGATCAATGTCAAGAGGTTCGACAGCTGGTACAATAGATACTTGTGAACCCAAGTTGTTATCCTTGTTAGATTTGGTAGCTTCTTTTCTTATATTTAGCTGAGATTTACTCAAATTTGCAGCAGCTCTTAAAAGTACATATACGGATTATATCAAAGAAAAAAAAATATATTAATCTATTCTTAAGGGCACAATGTTTCTGGCATTATTAAAATTCTAGCTATTTTTCGTGTAAGGGGTAGTAAAAACTAAGCTGAGCAAGTGAAATGTTTTGTGACTATGGGGCTTGTTTGTTGTGTATGTCAAAATTTGAAATTTACTGTCAATTCTCTGTTTTGATTACAGTATTTACCAGATTGTGATGAAGTGATATATTTACGAGATGGTATGATAGCAGAACAGGGGACTCACTCTCAACTCATGCTGGATATGAATGAATATTACAGCCTAGTGAATCTTTTCAACACTGAACAGACAGAGGAGCCGGACTTGGAAAATATAGATCTGGATTTAGACTTTGAATCCAATGGTGATGCTGTACGACGTAAGTTGAATTTAAAATCCTAAGCATGACATCTTCATAATGTCAAGCTATTACAAATTTGTACTTATACCTTGACTGCCACAGCCACTTTTCATGAATGCAGTGATTTGATTGGATTGTATGCCAGTAAATACAGCCAATCAGAGCTTTGACAGAAAGTTTGATAAACATATGGCTTTGTGTCGAAGACCCTGATTGGCTGTGCAATCCAATCAGATTGCTTCATTTATAAAACTTACATGATACAAGAAAGGTGACTATTGCAGTCAAGGTATAAGAACCAAGTTCTTAATAATTTGAATCTTGAATTCCAAAGTAAGAAATCTCCCAGGAATTGTTTCACAAAAAAAGTGAAAATTAAATTCATAGGAATGGAATTATTATGATACATTTAAATCCAAAGATTTTTTTGTGAAACGCAAAAGTTGCACCTCTGGAAATTTCAAAATTTGTTGTATTTTGTGTAAGTGCTTAAACTATCCATTGGACTTTCTATTGACATTCTGATATGAGTTTTGGAGGGAGCACAAGCGTTTGGCATTTTAGCAGTTTTTTTTATGGTAGGAGTACCGGACATCATATTTTTCTTTTGAAAACTTGTACACCCCCACCTTTTTCTCTTAGTTTTAACTTATACAGGTAGCCAGAAATAAATTGCCGTTAACTGTTTACATGTGACAATATCATCCCTTTAACAGAATGTAATTGTCAATTGCTTAAAGGGACAGTACCACCATCTGTTCGATCAATTGTATCTTAGTCTCAGAAACAAATTTTTTTTTGCTGAGCTAATAAGTAATAGTGTTCACAACTCACTGTCAAAAATTGAGCCTTCAAATCCATGCGTTACCATGTGTTATATTTGAAGGATTTATGCAATTTTGTGCAGTTAGAGTACTTCTGAAGACTATTTACAAATACAGTCCCAGACAATGATTTCTTCAAATATGTATGACTTCTGATACAAATAAAAGCTTATTATGGCTTTTTTCATGATTAACATCTGATTTCTTTTCTCTTTTGCATGAGAGCTTAACTTCATAATTCACTTCTGAAAAGCAATACAGTTACCTAAAAAAAAAAAAACGGCTTGATTAGCATATATTTAGCTGACTGCATCAATATCATTTTACTTTTATTTTTTTATAGCTCGTGTGGTTTCATTTTCTAAAGATTTAAATGGAGGAAACATGACACCGATTGTGATGAAGCGTACCATGTCTAATGTTTCTAGTCGAGATGAATATTGCCCTAAAAAGATGGTAGAAAGACAGTTTAGTGCCTTATCTATGTCAATAGAAGAAACAGACAATAAAAAAAGGTTACTTGAAAGACAGTTCAGTGCTATGTCTACTACTAGTGATGTTGAAGGTAATTAAATTTTATCTCCAAAGTGCACCTTTTGAAACTTTCACCCCGCCCCCAAAAAAAACACCAGAAATTTGTTTGAATTTGCAGAAAATCTTGTAGCATCCAAAGAAGTGAATCTTGCAATTCCAGTAAAACTAACTGTTTTCTGATGCCACTATCTCTAAAGCTGCTAACAATATCCTTTTGGATAGTGACATCATAAAATTCTTAGTTTTAGTGGAATTGCAAGAACCACAGATGTCTGATTGAAAATTGGAATGATGCAAATGGATGCTATCATTGTCCCTGATACACATCAAATGTTAACAGAACGTCATTACAATCTGTTTAAATGAATACTACCTCCTTAGTTTAATAGTTTAGACATAGATTCTGTAGTAAGTCCACTGATGAATATAATACTCTTCTTGACCAAGTTTAAAATTTTAATTTTTTGGTCATCCTAAGAGGTAGTATACCTGTATTACTCAATCTGATCATTGCCCAAAATCTATATTTCAGTTGATGGTAAGCTGGTGATGACAGAGGAAGCTGATGTGGGTACAGTCAATCCGAGGGTCTATCATCAATATTTTAAAGCTATTGGTGGATATTGTTTGTGTTTGTTTGTGTTTGTAACGTTTTTTAGCTCTGTTTTAGCTCAAACTTTAACTAATTGGTACTTATCTTATTGGTTAAACCAAGGCTCGGGGGTAAGTATTAGACGAAAAGAGCTCATTATGAACTAGACCAAAACATCTGCCTCTATTCCATAGATGTTTTGATATTTGTCGGCTGGGGTGGTGACAGAAAAACAGGGCTCCGTTTTGTGGGGATTTTTGGACTTATATTTTAGACGTCCATATCATTCTACAAAATTATACATTCTACCCCACAATAAATGTCAGAATGTACTAAATCGATTCACATTTTCAACAAAAATTTGGGAGAACCCTCTCAGTCGTTGCATGAGAGGCTTGCAACAAGACGCCTCTACAAAGTTGCCGTATTTTGAATGTGGTCTTGATATTTGCCCCCCTCATTGAGTCAGTCTGCCCCTTATTTGTATTCCCAGTTTCGAGAGGCTGGTGCTGCCAGAGCGTGACCTAAAGGCAGGGAGGAATCATTCACCCACTTCTTTCTATTGTAGAATGTGAGTATAGTGGTTGATAATCAAACAGTAATCAGTGAAAGTATAGCAGACAATCCTAACAAAGATATTTATATGAGTGTATATAGCAGTTTTATAGTTATAATGGCATTATTACTTATATTCAGAACATTTCTCTTTATGAAGGTGAGCATAATTTATATTCAGAACATTTCTCTTTATGAAGGTGAGCATTATTACTTATATTCAGAACATTTCTCTTTATGAAGGTGAGCATTACTTATATTCAGAACATTTCTCTTTATGAAGGTGAGCATAATTTATATTCAGAACATTTTTCTTTATGAAGGTGAGCATTATTACTTATATTCAGAACATTTCTCTTTATGAAGGTGAGTATTACTTATATTCAGAACATTTCTCTTTATGAAGGTGAGCATAATTTATATTCAGAACATTTCTCTTTATGAAGGTGAGTATTACTTATATTCAGAACATTTCTCTTTATGAAGGTGAGCATAATTTATATTCAGAACATTTATCTTTATGAAGGTGAGTATTACTTATATTCAGAACATTTCTCTTTATGAAGGTGAGCATAATTTATATTCAGAACATTTCTCTTTATGAAAGTGAGCATAATTTATTTTCAGAACATTTCTCTTTATGAAGGTGAGCATAATTTATATTCAGAACATTTCTCTTTATGAAGGTGAGCATAATTTATATTCAGAACATTTCTCTTTATGAAGGTGAGCATAACTTATATTCAGAACATTTCTCTTTATGAAGGTGAGCATAAGGCGACATAAAAAAAAAAAGTTGGTTATCGTCCCCGCCCGACCGGAGACTCGATATATTATTTATTTTTTATTTTCTCATAAAATGTCTAAAAAAGCGTGCTGAGTGTCCAAATTTATCGAAATAACAATGCTGTTCCGAATGCTCCGTATAAGCTTCCGGTACAATTACCTCCCTTGACATTGCGCTTGCGCATTGAAGTTATTGAACTCAGTACTGTTTTGATCCTGCATTCATTTAAACTAGCCTACTAACTAGTCTTCGCATTTTTATTTAATGTAATGGATTTTGTAGTAGCTAGCATTGCGCAAGATAAAAACCCCACATTATTGAAAGCATGGTGTGGGGTTTGCATCTCCAGCGACAAGACACTTTCCGAATTCTACTCAGAATTGGTAGCAGGAAAATTTGACAGCGAGCCGCTGCAGGAGGAACGCAGACGATCATTTGTCCAAGTCCTAGTTGGTGAGTTTGAATGTTTCATCCACATATTTCGACATCAATCGTTCAAATAGATCGTGTGCACTAAAGTGTTATTACAATTGAATTTGTTTTGAATTTATGCACGGAAATGTTATCCCATGCACCTCTACCCTAGCAGGGTGTGCATGGGGCAGGGCGTGCATGGGGCAGTATTTCATAACTTATATTTAGAACATTTCTCTATTTAGAACATTTCCTTTCTTAAGGTGAGTATAACTTATATTTAGAACATTTATCTTTATGAAGGTGAGCATAACTGATATTCAGAACATTTCTTTATTTAGAACATTTCTATTTATGAAGGTGAGTATAACTAATATTTAGAACATTTCTTTATTTAGAACATTTATTTTTTTTGAAGGTGAACACAACTTATATTCAGAACATTTCTTTATTTAGAACATTTATTTTTTTTAAGGTGAGCATAACTTATATTTAGAATATTTCTTTATTTAGAACATTTTTTTTTTTGAAGGTGAGCATAACTTATATTTAGAATATTTCGCTATTTAGAACCTTTCCTTTCTTAAGGTGAGTATAATTTATATTAAGAACATTTCTCTTATGAAGGTGAGCATAATTTATATTTAGAACATTTCTCTATTTAGAACATTTATTTTTTTTTTAAAGTGAGCATAACTTTATAACATTTCTCGAAAATTTAACTGAAAGTGGACACTTACTTTTCAACTTTCACAACCACTACCATTTAAATGTTCTGACATATTTTTTAGGTAACCTTAAAAGCCTCAAGTCAACTTCATGATGAAGTGTTTTTAAAGATCTTATCTTGCCCAATATCATTTTTTGATACAACTCCTGTTGGTCGAATAGTCAACAGATTCTCTGCAGATATGGATGAAAGTAAGTGATATATTTTTCAAGTTATATTTTTGGGGCAGTATGTAAAATAATTTTCATTATCAAAAACGTCGAAAATTATATCTGAAATTGAATTTGTTTTAAAAGGGTTAAAATAACAGCAATTTTTTTTGTTAAAACTTTCAGATACTTTAAAATATTTGATGTATAGTTTTCACAAAATTGAGCAAAAATATTTTTTCGTTATGCCCCTTTAAAGAGCTGAAATTTAAGATATCTGTATCACTTGGCAAAATTGAAAATAATGTTTGGTTCATCTACAATTAAAGTAAAAGATATCGGCAGAAGTATAAGATTCTTTGACAATTTGAAATCAAATAAGGGTAGACTCAAACATGATGTATTTGCAAAATGTCCCTCATTGTAGACTGCATAGTGTTGCCTGTCCAATCAGATACAGAATAGGAGGATATACAACTCCATTTCTTATAATTTCACTGATTTAAAGGGACAGACTCGGCATTTATTTTTAGCAATCTTACCTTTGTCTCAGAAACTGGGATTTTTTAGCTAAGCCAATCAGTAATAGTGATCTCAGCTCACCATCAAAATTTGAGCCTTGAAATCATTGTGTGTCCAGAATTATCTGCATCAAAAGATACAAAGACACTTGTCTTTTCTTGAGACGCTGTCATATATAGAAAAGACATCTATAGAGATAGGAAAAGAAATTCCTAGTTTGAGATATTTGTGAAGGAATTATGTGATTTTTCTAGTACTTCTGAAGACTATTTATATATATTCAAGACTTAAAACAACTCAACTGAAAATGGCTAACCTGAAAACTGATAATAATATCATATTTATGTCCATTTTTTTCAGTTGATATTCGTCTACCTATGAGTGCGGAAGTTTTTATGAACAATGTACTCACCATTTTATTTTCATTAGGCATGATAGCCTACGTGACTCCATGGTTTTTAATCGCTCTTATCCCATTGTGCGTGTTTTTTGTGTTTTTGTATTTATTGTTTGTGAAATGTGTTCGCGAGTTGAAAAGAGAAGACTCCATATCACGGTCGCCATTGTTAAGCCATCTCACAGCTGCCATTCAAGGTATTACTACCATCAAGGCCTACAACAAAAGTAACGAATTTAAAGAAAAGTAAGTAGGCCTACCCTTTTTTTTTTCTTAGTTAATGGGTAGCCATATACAACCATTGGTAGGGAACCCTTAGGATTATCAGGGGGTTTAAATCTTTTTCTTTTTCCTATAACCACTTTGAGGACACTTGATCGATTGCATTTCCCCCTTCCCCCTATAAATCCTAACTATTTTTTTTTCTCTTCGAATTGCCTACAATGCTTCTCATTTCAAAGGCTAAATTAGATTATAATTGTCCAAAAATTTATGCTAGAATACAAATTAAGAACCTCATTACTCATATCCCCCCAAAAATTTTGAAATTAACCCCCAGGCTGAAAACCCCTGCAGTAGGGGTACGAGGTTGATTGGGACATTATTTTAAACCTAGTTTTTCCCTATTAGTCATAACTCAGAAACCCTGAAAATAATATGCTTATGCAAATTTGAAGCTATCTCCAGTGTTGTGTTGTTAAGTAGTCAGAGCATGATCACTCTTTTGCAACACCTGATATCATCCTGCGACTAGGTTTGTCTACCTAGGTATCCCTATCATATGTCCCTTGTAGAGGAGACACTGATAGCATCAATTTGCACTATTCCAATTTCAGTCAGATGTCTGTGGTTCCTGCAATTTTGCTAAGAGATCACAAAGATCAATATATTCTGCGATAGTGACATCATCAAGTGCTGCGTGGAATTGCAAGAACATTAGACATCTGACTGAATGTTGCAAATTGGAACTATCAGTGTCCCCGATACACAAACTAAATTTCACAATCCCTTTAAATTCGGCACATAGTTACCATGGTTACCATGCTATACTTTCAGATTTCGGATGTTGTTAGATAAAAACAGTGTACCCTATTTAATATTTTATTTATCCAATCGCTGGTTAGCTTTACGCTTAGATCTTATAACATTGTCCATCAATGCCTTAACTGGTTTCCTCATTATATTAACCTTTGACCAGATGACTCCTGCTTTAGCTGGTCTTGCTTTGTCTTTTGCCGTCCAGGTAAGCACCCTTTGGTATATTATAACTGTTCAAATACTTGTCTGAAGCCAGTCCCATCGTTAGGGTGAGGTCCATGGGGGCTGGTGAGAATAAAGCGCCCTAGCAAAACCTTCTTCAGTTAAACAGAGATTGATTCATTTCATTGGTACCAAATCAAAAAGATCTCAAATTTGAAATTTTTTTGGCACCATAAAATTGTCAGAAATGAGTTCTCTAGGCCTTTGATTCTTCAAATTTTCTGCCTACAAAATATGAGCCCCAGTTCCAATTCATTCCTGCGACGGAACTGTCTGAAGCTCACATGACAAATCTGGTCTCTCTTCAGACTTGATTTATTGATGGGATATTGCTTCATATAATGTGACTACATGATTATGGGAGATGCTCCGATCATTTTTTCACATGAAATTTTTGGAATAAAAATATTTTTTCAAATAAGGATTTAATAGCATTTCAAAAGTTCGAAAAGCCAAAGTCTAATTTTTCTGACCCGCATGCCAAAAATATCTATCAGAGATTCAGTAAATTTGAATATAATCAAACACAAAGATAGTGCACCATATATGGTCAGACGTCTGTGATTCCTGCAATTCTACAAAAATTAGGTGCATGATGACATCACTAATCGCAAAAAATGCCTGTTTGTCAAAAGGTCTTCATGATAAGTAATGCCATATACGTCTGCCTGAAAATTGGAAGGTTCTAATTGATGCTATCAGTGTCCCCGATATACATACAAAATTTAGAAAACCTCTTTACATTAATATGTCTTTATAATGCACATGTGATAAATTGTAACAATAAATTCTAAATGATAAATGTTCAGATATTCAAAAAGCCTTTTTTATGAAGTATTATATCATAAACATGTAAACATGCACCGTAAAACAGACGTGACAATCGAAAAAATAAAAATTTAAAAACATGTTTACATACCGGTAGTTATAAAATAAAGATATATATGTTATATAATATAACATTTATTAATATAATAAAACATGTGTTGTTTACAAATAATCTCTTCAAGTCAGCTGATGTCTATTTTGGCGTGTGATTTTTTGAAAACATATACAGTATAATTGTGAAGATAATGCGCACCCCTTTTTACCCCCCCAACCGGTAAAGCTGGAAAAAGGTCTGTCAAAGTAAATACTAATTTGTGGGGGTGCTGTACAGGGTACAAACCATTTTTCTGGCGCTGCCACTGATGACGGCCCACCTAAGCACCATTTACATTTTATATGATAGATATGTTAAGAAATATTTTATATTTTAGATGACAGGATTGTTTCAGTTTACTATAAGATTAGCTGTAGATACAGAATCTCGATTCACTTCTGTTCAGCGAGTTCTAGATTATTCTCAGGTAGGTCTGACAAGGTTTGAAACTCCTAAATTGGCCTTTTTTTTTGAACAGTTGAAAATTACAAAAGAAAGCTTAATGAAGAATTTCCCCATTGTACATTGCATGAGATGCGGATAAATAGGACATTTCATTCAAATAGTAATTCTCAAATTTCATTTAATTGCTCAGAATAGATAAACAAAATAAACATTAGATATCTGGACTCTCTAAATTGTATGCTATGCCAGTGCATAGTGACATCAGGTGTTTTTAACTACTAACTTTGTTTTACTTTACAGAACCAACCCCAAGAAATAACTACAGTTCTAGCAGATAAACAGCCCTCTAGTGATTGGCCAAGACTGGGAGAAATCTCCTTTAAACGCTTACGGATGAGATACAGACCTGGTCTACCTCTAGCTCTGAAGGGAATCACTTTCGATGTCCATTGTAAAGAAAAAATAGGCATAGTAGGAAGGAGTGGTTCAGGTATGAGTGGTTTTCATCAATTACTTTTTTTAGACTGCATCCAGTTCTTAAACAATACAAACAAAGGTCTTAGCATCAGCTATATTTACGTGGGTCCCAATCATCCAAAGCATCCAAAACTGATCCAGTGGAGGGCCAAAGATTTAGATGGCCCAGCTTGGGACCCCCATTTTAAAATGAATGGTGCTCGATTAGATAAATTTTGTGGTCCCCACTTGGCCCCTACACCATGATTTATAGAAACGCCATTAAAGTAACAGTTAGCTATAAATATCAAAAGATTAAATACACTTCACATTGGGCCTGGAGCTGTTTTGTATTTTCTTTATTGATTTTAATGTGGTTTTGGCTGAGACTTTTGGATTGCAATTTGTAAGCTTTTGTGTATATGAAATTTTGGGACTCTTTTTGTGAAAAATGCAGGCCCGAGGGGCTGACCTGGGAAAGTCACCTTTGTTCTACAGGCTTTACATGTTAAAAATCCAGAGGCAGTTGGAAATTTAAAAAGAGTAGTCTAATGCTGCTATCCTGTCAAAATGTCCATCATTGCACACTGCATGATGATGAATATATTTCCACAGACGTTAAATTCTGTTCATTTCTCTGTGAAAAAAGTTGCTCTGAAGTTTACCATTTTCATGTAGATATTTGTTTGAGCTAATCAAAAATTATTCGTGTGATTTTCAGGAAAGTCGTCTTTAGGCGTGGCATTATTCCGTCTGGTCGATGCAGCATCAGGGTCTATCTTTATTGATAATTATGATATTAGTAAAGTCAATTTAGAGACTTTACGATCAAGACTATCTATCATTCCACAAGATCCAGTTTTATTTGTGGGGACTATTAGGTAAGTGGACAATGAAAATCTGGATATTTTGTTTCATGTTTTTCTGTGGGTGACTCCATTTGCCAACCATGATCTAACGAGATTGTTATTCATCTTATGTTCTTAATATTCAACCAATGAATTACTAATGATATAATTTATTAATATCTCAAAGTATACAGCATTGAAACTATCTATTAGCTATGAGAACTCTATTGACTTGTTTATGATATTACAGATACAACTTGGATCCTTTTGGTAACCATAGCGACCAAGAATTATGGGAAGTTTTAGAAAAATGTCATGTAAAAGAATCTGTAAGTATAAAATCCATTATGATACCTTAGTAATGAATAGGGTTTTTATGACTAAGTGAAAATTTGTTGAAGACGTCTTTCCTTCCTGCCACTGTTAATGAAACGAAAGAAACAACAACTGTTACAAGGATGATAACTTAGGTTCACAGTTAAGGATCCTGTCTACCAGCTGGTCCTTGACCAACCCTCTTGGCATTGATCTATCGCGGATTATCCGTACCCATTTACAGCTGGGTCAACTTGAATTATGAGTGATGATGACATATTCAAGGTCATCGGACTATCACATGCCGATTGAGATCGGAACCCACAGCCCATCATTTGCTGGACATAACCAAGCAAGTGATGTCATGTTTTGTATCTATTGTAGATTATGAACTTAGATTCACAACTAGATGCTATGGTGGTTGAAAATGGTGAAAATTTTTCCGTTGGTGAAAGACAACTAATGTGTATGGCCAGAGCATTACTTAGACACAGTAAAGTAAGATAATTCCCTTACAAATTCAGTTTATTTCATTATCCCTATATTGGCTGCAGAGATGCACAACTTGGGGCATAGATTTTTAAAAAGCCAGTTCGGAACTATATGTTCACATGCGCATCACTCTAATTCCCTACTTTCGCCTCGGAATAAACAATGTTGATTTAACTTGGCAGTCTGTGACCAGCGAAAAGGGTGAACTACATTGAAAGTTATCCATTTAAAATGTTGTTGAAAGCAAGTTTTCTCAGTTCACGGAGTATATCACTTGTCTGACGATTATAAATGTAGTAAACACTTTGTATAAGATTAAATAACGGAACTCAATTTTATGGTATACTACTACTCATTAGTTTTATTACACACGACGTTTCAACAATCTACATTGTCATCATCAGGTGAAGTGAGGAAATATGGTGCAAGAAGTTATATATATACACAAAAAATAACAATAGCAAGAATTAATTAGGGATTGTATGAGATACATGTCCAACACTGAACATGTGCAGAAAAGTAAATAAGAACAGTTATATTCATATCATTTCTGTATTTTGATTTTCTTATTATAGATCTTGATACTAGATGAAGCCACTGCCGCAATAGATACAGAGAAAGATGCCTTAATTCAATCAACTATCAAAGATGCCTTCGCTGATTGCACAATGCTAACTATAGCCCATAGATTAAACACAGTGTTATCATGTGATAGAATTTTAGTTATAGAAGATGGAAAGGTGAGGCTTTCTTCTCAAAAAACCCCTAACTTAACTTGCACAGCCTTGTAGCCGTTTATTGTCCCATCTGAACGACTAGACACTGTTTCTATGTCAGTCCCTCGGACCTGCATTAGCAACATATTATAAATCCTGTCGGCAGCATCCAGATTTTACTCAAGATTCGAGTCAGCGACAAAAATCAGCGACCAAGACTGTTCATGCGCCTGCACCCCAAGTCTACTTTACAGTTGAATCAGCTGTAAATGGGTTTTGCACACAAGTTCAGAGACAGGATTCTGAAAAACTCATCCTTGTAGAAAATTTGATTCCCAAATTGTAACTGATTATTTTATTATTTCAGGTTGTGGAATATGATAAACCTTCCGTATTGATGGCAGACCCCAAATCAAAATTCAAAAAAATGTTAGAGGCTACAGAAAAACAATCAGAGGCCACAGAAAAACAGCCAGCTACAGAAACGTGACCACTGTGATGATGATCTAGACTATTTACAAGGGAGACAATTAACAATTGATTATGAAGCAGAAACTGTTTGAATTTGTCAAAAATAAATTGGGGGTGCAAACCATTTTTCTTGGTGGGCAAATGCACCTTCCCTGTACCCTACTGGCGACGCCACTTCATGTGGGGATAACATATGGAAAATGAGAAACACGTGGCTTGTTAGCTTGAGTGACTGTTGCCTAGCAACACATGTCAAAGATGACACTGTAAAATGTGCCTTAGCAACATAATATGTCCTTGTATATAAACAAAACACATGACCTTAGTTAAGCTCACTGCTGCCTAGCAAAATTTTTATATCATAGTATCTTAGCAACACGTGGCCTGAGTCTCTTAGAAACACATGGTCTGAGTCTCTTAGCAAAACATGGTCTCAGTCTCTTAGCAACAAATGATCTGAGTCTCTTAGCAACACATGACCTGAGTCTCCTAGCAACACGTGGCCTGAGTATCTTAGCAGCACATGGTCTCAATCTCTTAGCAACACATGGTCTCAGTCTCTTAGCAAAACATGGCCTCTGTCTCTTAGCAAGACATGATCTGAGTCTCTTAGCAACACATGATCTGAGTGTCTTAGCAACACATGGCCTGTTACAAAAATTGACTATTGCCTAGCAACAATAAATGACATCCTAGCAACCTATGTTACTCAGAAACACATGTTTAAAGTGACATTGATACAGTTGCTTAGCAACATATGACGTTTAAATTAGATGAATTTTACATAGCAACGCATGTCATGGCCCATAGAGGAATGTTACTTAGCAACATGACCTGTCCATTTATTTTACTGTTACTTAACAACCATTTTATAGTCCATTAGCGTATTACTTAGCAACATATGACATGTTGAATTAGATGACTGTTACCCTAGCAACATGGCCGGTTCAATATTTTTACTGTTACTTAGCAACCATTTTATAGTCCATTAGCGTATTACTTAGCAACATATGACATGTTGAATTAGATGACTGTTACCCTAGCAACATAGCCGGTCCAATATTTTTACTGTTACTTAGCAACCATGTCATAGTCCATTAAAGTATTAAATTTTGCTACTTAGCAACAAAGTCATGTCAAAAATGTGTTAGCAGTACATGACTTAAATTCTTGATCAATCCTGTACTTAAAGGGGAAGTCTTGATTTTGTGGGGTTTATTTGTTCATATGTATGAAAACTATAGACCAAAACCTTGTCTCCTAGTATACCCTCCGTTTGTAATAACCCCTTTTAAAACATATGCAGTTTGATCAAGTAGATACAATAAAGTAAATAGCATATTTTAGAAATCTTTTTGTGTATAATTAACTATGTTTTAATACGATATTAAAAATTTTGAATACTGCCCATTCAATGAAACTCGTTACACTATTTAATTTTACGTTATCTAGTTGTTATTGTAAGTATAATATTGAAATAAAATTATTAATGTAGAGTTACATTGTGTTTGTTATCAGTGTCCATAATCTGCTCAATTTGGCTGCGAAAAGGGTCAACAATATCCTGTGGCTATAGAAACTGTTTGGATCAAATCCACGGGCGACCATACCCCGAGGAAAAATACAAAATAGCATTAACTACAGACTGACACTCTTCCATTAACAGGAATTAAATTGACTTACAGAAGAATCGCAGAATGCAGGAGAGCATAATAATATGTTTTAAAAAAATACCCTAAAAGTCCTCGGCGCCCCGCTCATTCACTTTTTTGCAAAGGGTGGTTCCTAATAGTGCTATAAAGACGTGGATGTGAGGGTTTTGTACATTAATATTAATGAGGAGTCGACGTGCTTTGACCAGTTGCTGGTCTTGCTACATGGCTAGAGAGAAATGCTAGGATAAAAATGCTGTCCGGGCTTTAATCACGTTCATATCATTTCTAAATGCAAAAAAAAAAGTGTTTGCTGACATCACATCGTGAAGGATTAATGGAATTGCAGGAACCACAGACGTCGGGTTGAAAACTGGAATGGTGCAAATTGATGCTATCAGTGTACCCGATACACATAATTTTTTTAGAAAACCTCTTTACAATCTCTTTAATGTAATCAATGTTCTCCAGTTAATTTGTTGACTATTTGTCCGACTGATTTATATTCCAAATGACCACGATGCATAGTCAATAAAGATGAGGGAAAATAATTGATTTAACTAATGAATATTCATGATGGAAATTAGCATAAAGAATGTTTACCAACCACTGTGAACAATATGTTATTATATTTGTATAACAATGGCGAGGACCTTGTTAACTTCAAAGAATTTTTGACTCAAAATAATCTAAAGGTGACTGAACTATTAATGAGAGTTTACTCCAATTTACAGTTTACATTTTGGAATAAATGCTATCATAGTCATAATGAAAGAAATAAAGTTTATGGTCAAACAGTCCGTCAATTAAGCTAATGGCCAAATGGTATAACCAGTGGCGTATCTACCCAGAAAAGGTGCTGGCCCACAAGCCTCTCATAATGCTGATTGGCCAAACGGTCTACCATAAAAGTTCCGCTAATGTAGCTAATGGCCAAACGATCTACCATAAAAGTTCCGCTAATGTAGCTAATGGCCAAACGATCTACCGTGAAAGTTCCGCTAATGTAGCTAATGGCCAAACGATCTACCATAAAAGTTCCGCTAATGTAGCTAATGGCCAAACGGTCTACCATAAAAGTTCCGCTAATGTAGCTAATGGCCAAACGATCTACCGTGAAAGTTCCGCTAATGTAGCTAATGGCCAAACGATCTACCATAAAAGTTCCGCTAATGTAGCTAATGGCCAAACGGTCTACCATAAAAGTTCCGCTAATGTAGCTAATGGCCAAACGATCTACCATAAAAGTTCCGCTAATGTAGCTAATGGCCAAACGGTCTACCATAAAAGTTCCGCTAATGTAGCTAGTGGCCAAACGATCTACCATAAAAGTTCCGCTAATGTAGCTAATTGCCAAACGGTCTACCGTGAAAGTTCCGCTAATAAAGCTGATGGTCTACCGTGAAAATTCCGCTAGCAATGAAAGAAATGGGGTTTTACCTCCTACTTTTCTGCAGCGCTGCGTTAATTCGTATTCTGTTCTCGTTGGGTTAGCGAGTAAGACACATGTTTGCCCCGAGGACTAGGATTCGATCCTTGTAAATACCATGTCAGTGATGCAGGTCGGGGGTAAGCTACTAGTTGTTCACTGTTCACGTTAAGGATCCTTCGGCAGTCCTGGAAAGGTTTCCCTCATTGTACAATGAATAGAGCTGTCCGCACTAGCCCAGTCAGATGCAAAAAAGGTTATCCATTCCGTTCCATTCGATTGTACACAGTGACGGCGACTCGAGAAAAAATGGTTTGTACGCCGAATTGTGTCCCCGCAACATTTATTAACGTTTTAGCCCCAAAATATGTGTCAGAATGCATCAAATTAATCATCAATCTCGAGGAAAATCTCTCACAGACACTCTATGCACCTTTGCACTTCCTCGAGTTGTGGAATTTTGAATCAAAAGCTATTCATTTGTCCCCTCATGAAGCCTGTCTGTACCGCCAGTCTCGGGAGGGTGGCGCCGCCACTGACTGTACATCTGTTTAAGCGTTTTCAGTTTGAAAAAATAAGAGGTATAATATTGTAAATAGCAGGCAAACAAAAAGCTACAAATAGAACAAAAGCAAATTCATGATCTGAATTATCAGGCAATTTGTGGTTTTTAGAGCCATAATATAACATCCAGGGCGTTCTTATTACCGTAAAATAAATATTGAAATTTATTAACAAGTTTCTGTCAAATTCTGTTTAATTGGCTTTGTGTAAAAGTCAAAGGTGAACGCATCCAATGTTTCTGTTAAAACAAAAAAAACTCCACCGAGTGGAATTTCATAAGACTTGTAAAGGAGCGAAGTACTTGGGGCTGCCACGAAGGTCAATTTCCAACAAAAATTTGTTTGCTCGCTGTTACCACTAAACTAACAACTTGTACCGAGCCCTCATTACAAGTGATACCCGATCTCTTGACCCGTGGGTGTGTTGGCCATTGCGTTGCCTATAAAAAGTTTAAAAACTTTGCATTCTCAGCATTGTCTCCCAGAACGAACCGTCGGACCAGTAAGGTATACCAGCTCTGTTTCATCATGAGACCCGCCAGTGTGTTGTGTTTAGCTGTAGTTGGGCTAGTTGCTATTTTTGCCGTAGCTGAAGAAGCACCAGAAACCGCACAAGAAGCTTTAGCTGAAACTGTCTTCCAAGTCGAAGCAATCCAGCAATGCAGTAAGTAACACTCACTTTCTTTTGATAAAATTCGGTGGAATTTTGGTCCCGTTTGCAATAAAACGCGTTCATTTTGACCGCATTTCATTTTCGCTTACTGGAAATGCTACTTATTGACTCTAACTAAATTCTGATAAATAGCCGAAAAACGTTAAAATATCTATCAGATGCTGGTAAGAGACATCAAGTTTCCCATTTCCAATATTTAGATGCATTCCGACTAGTTAATCTAGTCATTGATTTTACCTGATGCACCGACAACTCAAGCGAGCTCTTTTTTTACGACTAAAACATCCAGAATTTTGTCTGAACATTTTTATTGTTTGAAATTACAGTCCTCTATATAAAAATTGATCAAAATTGATTTTCATGTAAAAAGTTATCAATACTGGATTTTACATTGAAAATATATTTGATATATATTGTTAATGCCCTTTATAATGTTCTATAGCATAGTCGGTTAGAACTTAGAGCGTTGGTTCTTTACATGTCGTCATTTGCTCGGTTAACCGGAGCGAATGGCGGTTGTGAGTTCAATTCCAGTCGACCCAGCTCTAAATGGGTACGGATAATCCGGGAAAGTTCAATACCAAGAGTTTTAGCCAAGGACCAGCTGGTTGAAAGGATCCTTAACTGTGAACCTTAGTTGCTTTCCTTGTAAAATATAGTTATTTCTTTCTTTTTCTTTCTTTCTTTACGTCAGCCTGTATTCAAAATTGACAGAGATATTGCATCCTTCGAGGGACATCTTCGAGGGAAATCTGCAAGGTGATATGATGTTTTCCATATGCATTCAGACTTGACTTGAGTTTGATACTTTCTTTAATACCAGTCTTCATTTAGAGGTGACAAAGTTCTGATTTCATTCTTTCGAGAGACTAGCCAAAGTCTCTGTGTTTTCGAGAATGTTATTTCTTATGCTAGATTTTGATCAATAGATTAGTATTTCGGAACGGTATGACTGTGAAAGTAATCTCTACCTATCTTTTCTTTCAGTTGCTGCTCATCCCGATAACAGAGCTAAGAGATCAACCTACCAATACTCTCGATCTTACGGTTACGACTACAACAACAACTACGGATTCGACAACTACTTGGACTTAGGATTAGGATTCCGACGATACGACTACAACGTTTTCCCAAACGCACTCAACTACAACTCACGATTCGCCAACTACTACCCCGAAGATCTTAGAGTTAACTTGTACCGTCTACCAGCAGCTAGATTCTTCAACAGCTTCTACCCTGGACCTATCGTCCGACCAGCTGACGGAGTTGTAGACCGAACCTACTTCCGAGTCGGATCCTACGAAAATGCTTTAACCGACTTCCGTCTCTTTCCACTCAACAACGTCCGAAGCTTAACTACAGAAACGACCGTCCGATCTGATGTCGCACCAGGATACGTAGGAGCTTTCCGAGACTTCCCTTACGAAGTCCGAGTCTGCCAAAACTGCTGCAATGGTGGAAACCCATGTATTAGATTTACTGGACAAACCTATCCATTCCAACAAGTCACTCGAAATTACGTCTACGTCCAAAATACCAGAAGCGTTTCCAGCTACAACCCTCTCTTGAAATAAGAAGCTACCTACGGGATTTACGTTCATCTTTGACGCATACATCGTAATTTATTTCTATGCATGTCACCACCGCCATCTCGGGTACATTGGGCTACATTTTATGTTGGTTGTTGTACATTACATTTCATGTTCTCTCATAAAATGTAGCTGTTGAATAATAAACTATTTTTGATGTTCTGCAATATTTATTTTATGTATTCATTCATAATTTTTGGGTTGGGGGGGGGGGGGGGGGGTGTTACCTGCCAAGCTAGTGACACCCATCAAAGAAGCTTACTCACCCAACATTACTATTAATGATTAATGTTGGGGAAATCGAGAACAAGTGAAAGTGGTCTGGGAGGTTAATTTGGGTCTTAAATGTATGTAAAAAAAATTGAGTTCAAGTCTAAGAAAAGAAGAGTCGTCTTTTTAACTTTCAAACGCGAATTCTAGACACACATGGATTTGAATGCCCAAATTCCCACTATTACTGATTGCCTTAGCTTAATAGGCAACGTCGTTTAAAATGAAATAAAATAATAAGGAGAAGTCTTTCGGATTATAATACAGCGAACTCGAAAAATCTCGCGAGATTACAAACATGGCGACATTTGTTTACTTGGCTGCTGGGGACGCCGTAAATATTTGTTTACATGTGTCATAAAGCAGAAAACAAGGAAGTTGCGGACAATGCTCGGTATGTTCTTTTCTTTTTATCAATTTTTCAACTCTGGTATGCGATGCTCAAAATTCTAATTTGAAGAATGCTATGAAATGTTTGATAAAAATTAAAATTTGATTTAAAAGCTTTTCTATCCATGCCATGACCACCTCGATCCTGAACACGGCTTCTACTAGTCTACTGGCACTAATGAAGTCTATCGTCAGAAAAATAAACTTTTTTGGACAACAATGTCTTATTAGGTCCTAGGAATCCTTTTTCTATGCATTTTTTTGTAAGCTAATAGCCTAACAGTAGCGGTATTGAAGAAGAGGCATTATAGCCTACCTTCCTAACAACATAAACCCTTTGAACCCTGAGTGTGAATGAAATATAACTCCAAGTAATAAAAGTAAAAGCGTATGATGTTAATGCTGTACTTAAAGGCCGGTATACAGACTGCTCTGGTATATATTGTGTTAGTGTGTGGCTGGTAAACTGGCCGCTAGGGTTAAAAGAGTTAACTTCTTAAATATGATGACGGTAGATGAACAGGCCTAAAAAATATCTTAATGAATATTATGTTGTGTAAAAGAAATATCTTTCATAATCAAAAACAATGTCAGAATTTTATGATCACAAGGGCCTATTTATATCTGATAGTGCTGATCATTGTTCACAAAAGATTATGTAATAATAGTTAATCAACCCCATTCACAACTGAACCAGTGGCTGAGAGATGGTAGAACACTATACACTAATAACACAATTGTTTCCATTTTTTTCTGTTATTTTTTTTTTCTACCATGAAAAAATTAATTCTAGCATGTATAAGAGAAATAAAATTAAATGGATGGAGTTTTAAGCCCTACTTCTCTGCACCATGTGGACTAATGAAGACAGGCAACACCATGCAGGGTGCAATGAAGGAAATTTTGCCAGGACAGCAGCATTAGCCTGCTCTTTTTTCGATTTCCAACTGTCGAGGGATCTTTAACGTGCACAGCCTGTAGCACACAAGGCCTCAGTTTATTGTCCTATACGTTGGACTAGACGCTTTTTCCATGTCAGCCCCTCTCATGCATGTATGAGAGAGATAAAGAAAATCAATTTCTGAAACTTTAGTCTGATTGATTATTTTCAGAATGAAGATTAATACTAAATATAGAATATAAAGATGTCTGGATTTAACACCTCACCTAGAAAAGATAATATTTCAGTTAGATTGAAAGCACAGTAAGTATCTTATTCTTACCATGTAGGTCTATTTGTAGGGACTTAAAGGGACAGTTGCCCAATTTTTTTTACCAATTGTACCTTAGTCTCAGAAATGAGAATTTTTTAACTAAGCTAATCAGTAATAGTCTTCATAACTCAACGTCAATATTTGGGCCTTCTAATCCATGTGTGTCCAGAATTATCCGCGTTTGAAAGTTAAAAAGACAAGTCGTCTTTTCTTGAGACACTGCCATATATAGAAAAGACATCTATAGAAATGGAAAAGAAATTCCAAGTTTAAGATATTTTTGAAGGAATTATGATTTTCCTACATTTCTAGTTTCTACTATTTACATAATACGTTCAATACTTAAAACAACCACCCAAAATGGCGCATCTGTCCCTTTAAAGGCCATCTCAGAGGTCAAGCTGCCTGTATCATCTTTCAGACTGAAAATAGACATAAGCTTAGAGAAAGGCCTAAATCATGATGTCTTTGAAATCAGTTAGGATTTTCAGCATAGCTGTTATGGTAGATTTTTTAAAGGTTTCCACATTTACTGTAGACATCAAATAAGCGATATATTGAGAGAATATCATTTTTCTTTTTAATTTCTCTTACAGAAATGAATTTTTGTAAGTAGAGCTAGTAAAAAATTTATTATTTTATGTGCTGATATTTCAAGAATTTCACAATATTTTTTTTTGCTTATTGTAGTATGTTTGCACAGTTTTGTAAGCAATTATTTCATGGAGGTATTGGTCTTGTATGCTAGCGAATACAACCAATAAGAGCCCTCAACAGAAAGTCTGTACAAGATTTTCCTGTGTGTTTTATCAGGGGCTAAGATTGGATGTATTTGCTTGATTACAATCCAATCAAATTGCTGCATTTACAAACTTCTCTAATATGAGAAAGGTGGCTATTTCAGTCAAGGTATTAGACATAGCTCGTAATTGCTTGACATTGTGAAGCTTGAGAAGTCATATACCAGTATTGTGATATTTGTTTGTTTGTTTGCCTTACATGAAGTGTCCCCCTGTTAGTGATGCAGGTAAGAGGGGCTGACATGGAAAAAGTGTCTAGTCGTTCGTATAGGACAATAAACCGAGGCCCCGTGTGCTACAGGCTGTGCATGTTAAAGATCCCTCGACAGTTGGAAATCAAAAAAGAGCAGGCTAATGCCGCTATCCTGGCAAAATTTCCCTCATCGCACCCAGAATGGCGTTGCCCGTCTTCATTAGCCTACATGGTGCAGAAAAGTAGGACGTAAAACTCCATTCATTTCATTTCATTTGCATGAAGTGTCTATGTCCACATCCACAAACAGTAACATTGTACTATGAGTATTATGTCCATGTGATCAATTCGACACTTTAAAACCAAAAATTAATTCTAAGATCAATAAGCTTAGCATCTTAGTCAGCTTCATATAACAAAAGGTTTTTTAAGCTTTCTGTTAAGAATTTTTTTGGTAGACATTTAGAATATTTGAGCTTACAACACAAAAGTGACATTGAAAATTTGCTTCTATAATCTATAAGCATAAAGTTTTGTACAATAGGTATATAGATTTCTGTTTGTACGTTATTTTAATTGTAGATGAGCCAACATCAGATTTCCATTTTGTAAAGTGAACAGATAGCTCTTTTGACTTTTTAAAGCTAAATTTAGATGAGTATTGATATCGAATACAACCCACAACAATTGGACATATTTATAATTAGCTGGATTAATAAAACTGCAAAACAAAACTGAAAATCCAAAAGAACAGTTCGGCAATACATTTGAGGCTTACAGTAACTTACTCTTAGAGGGACAGATGTGCCATTTTGGGAGGTTGATTTGAGTCTTGAATATATGTAAATAGTCTTCTGAAGTACTAGAAATGCAGGAAAATCACATAATTCCTTTAAAAATACTTCAAATTGGGAATTTTACTGACTATTTCTCTATATGTCTTGAATATATATCACACAGTAGCTTAAATTGATGAGTCGTCATTTTAACAATTTAAGAATGATTAGTCCAAAAATGGCCTAATTTTCTTGTTAATTTGGAACCTGACTTTATTCTTTTTTTTCCAACAGAAATATCAAGAATGCACAAGCAGAAACCAAGAAACTAGAACTAGAAAGCAGAAAAATGGAGGAGAGGCTCAGAGAGTTGAAAATTGCCATGGGAAAAGAGAAGGAGCAAAGAGAGTAAGACAATAATTTCAGAATTCTTGGAGGGTACTTAATTGGCATTGCCATTGCAATGGCACCAAAATGATTTATTCCAAATCATTCATGTGTTTGAAATAGTGCAGTTTATTTTTGACTGAAAGCTCATCAGGCACTCATTTTGAAGCTGTGAATATTAAATGGATCGTGAAGAGGTTTTCTAAAATTCTAAATTTGTTATTCTTTATCACATAATGAGGTTTTCTAAATCTGTATCGTGGTGCACTGATAGCATCAATTTGCACCATTCCGATTTTCAATCAGATGTCTGTGGTTTCTGCAATTCCACTAAAACTATGTGTTAGATGACATCACTAATCTCGAAGGTCTTATGTGATACAAGCATTTTTTTCGTTTATAATCCCTTAAAAAATCCACAAATAATAACACCATAATAGGCTTCTTTACTTTGGACAAATCCACAAACTAAACTAAAACTAAAACTAGTGATTTCAGAAGTATTATTTTGTTACTCACAAATCTTAGATTCGCTATCAGATTTTTAAGTTTTGTTTTACCTGTCTCTCCTTTTGTAGAAAGCAAGGTGGATTTTGGAAGCGCGGCCAGACTGGAACCTTGAACAGCTATGCTACAGAAGTTCTTCAAAAACCAAAACCAAAGGTTGGTACTAAACAGTGGCTGAACTATCATAGGGACTGGTTGAACTCCAAGGGATACCAACGCCCAATGAAAAAATGCATGAGAGCATATGTGAAAAAAAAAATTTCCTGGGAGGAGCCCCAACCCATTTAAGTTCAGGGACCCTCACTCATCTAGTAGTCCCACTGGTTCTAAAGTGTTACATAGGCGGAAGGTGAGAATACAGTTTGTTCCAAGATTTCAGGGAAAAAAATTGATTTTATTATGTGTTATATATAATTGATGGAGTCTGTACTTGCAGGAATCAAAGAAAAGAGGCGTCAAGTTGTTACGGGATGAAAAAATAGGTAAGCTTAT